TGAATTTTAAAAATAATTTATGAAGTATAGATCAATTTTTTTGGCATATGAATGTCCAGTTGCTCTAGTACCTACTTGTTGAAAAGACTATAATTTCTCCACATTAAACAACATTTGTTTAGAAAAAAAAAAAAGATTCTACCCAGCATGGGAACTCAAACATCTTCTTTTTAATTTTTTTAAAATTTATATAAATGGAACAAATTTCATGTCTCTCATACATACAGTTTTTTTTTTTTTTTTTGACAGGCAGAGTGGACAGTGAGAGAGAGACAGAGAGAAAGGTCTTCCTTTGCTGTTGGTTCACCCTCCAATGGCCGCCGCGGCCAGCGCGCTGCGGTCGGTGCACCGCGCTGATCTGAAGGCAGGAGCCAGGTGCTTCTCCTGGTCTCCCATGGAGTGCAGGGCCCAAGCACTTGGGCCATCCTCCACTGCACTCCCAGGCCACAGCAGAGAGCTGGCCTGGAAGAGGGGTAACCGGGACAGAATCCAGCGCCCCAACTGGGACTAGAACCCGGTGTGCCAGCGCCGCTAGGTGGAGGATTAGCCTATTGAGCCGCAGCGCTGGCTCATACATACAGTTTTAAGCACATAATGACACTTCCACTCCATCCTCCCTCCCTCCCCCACTCCTGCTGCCTTTCTTATTTTTCTTTAAATTTTTGTGATAACAGACTTTTTTTTTCTTTGAGAACAAGTTTCATCATTAATAGAAGAAGCACCTAAAGAAACAGGCAATGGAGTTGAGCACTTAGGCTTATCTAAAACGCATGAGACCTAAGACCCCCACTTAATACACTAAAGTGAAGTGAATCTTTGAGAACAGGCTCAAACATCTTCTAACCTAAAAGGAGAAAATTCCACAGACCCGGGTTTGGAGGCTGAGAGTCACTTTTGCCCAAAAGAAAACCCACAGTATTTTTTTCACTTGCAGTGGCATAAAATTAAACATAATCTTATACTTCATTCCTAGATTAGTTTTCTTTGCTCAGCTTTTAGGAGATGTTTTAGTTATTTGTAAGTTCAAGGGTCAGTAATATGATAATTCCTTTTTGACAATTTCTTTCAGAATGGGAGTGAAGCTTAAATCTCACGTAGTCTATTCCTTCTTTAAGTACAAAAATAATACATGTTGAATATGTCGATAATACAAAAATATTATCTAAGTTTTAGGATACTATAGCAAACTGGTCTTCCTACAGCCTCTCTGGCCTTCTCAATCTCTTTGGCTGGTTTCTCTTCCTTTTCTCCCCTTCCTTATGACCTCAGATATTGGCATGGATTTATTTCTTTATTCCACTTACTCCCTGGATGATCTCATTCAAATCCATGGAGTGAAATGCCACTTATACCTCCCATGAACCAAAGTTGTGTCTCCATCCCAACTTCTTCTCCAGACTCCACGCTGGTTTAACCAACTGTCTCATCAACGTCTCAGAGACGTCTAATAGCCACTTGTCTAATGAGGGAATCTTGGTTTCTCCACCTAGTCCTGCTTTTTGCTGAACCTCTCCTGTCTTGGTTTAGGGCACCATTATTCCTTCAGTTGCTAAGACCAAACACCCAGATGTTGCTTGACGGCGCTCTGTCTCACACCTGACATTCCATCGTCCAGCAAGTTCTTTCAAGCCTAACTGTAAAATGCACCTTAAATTGGACCACTGCTCACTGCTACAGCTGCTACCTCTGTAGACTCTGGAGAGAAATGGGGAACACGGCCTTGCCCCTTCACGGGCTTCTCCGTGTCCACACCTGCCTCTGCAGTCTCATCTCCACAAAGGATAGCCACAGGTCTTGCTGAAGACATAACTCAGATAATGTCCTTTTCCAGCTCAATTCTCACCAAGGGGCCGGCACTGTGGCACAGCAGGTAAAGCTGACACCTGCAGTGCTGGCATCCCATATGGGTGCCAGTTCAAGTCCCGGCTGCTCCACTTCCGATCCAGCTCTCTGCTGTGGCCTGGGAAAGCAGTAGAAGATGGCCCAAACACTTGGGCCCCTGCACCCACTTGGGAGACCCGGAAGAAGCTCCTGACTCCTGGCTTCAGATTGGCCCAGCTCTGACCATTGCAGCCATTTGGGGAGTGAACCAGTGGATGGAAGATCTCTCTCTCTCTTCCTTCTCTCTCTCTGTAACACTGTCTTTCAAATAAATAAATAAATCTTTAAAAAAAATTCTGGTACATTTTGTTTTTTCAAAAAGCATCATTTCATGTTGTATGCTGGGAAATCCAAAGCCACAAGCCCAGGGATCCTAATTTTCTTGCTGTAGTACGTAACTCCCTGGTGATTTTGTTTTCCTCAGAAGGAATCCAGAATACAAGACCTCAAGTTTCAGAGCTGGCTGGAGAGCTCATGGAAGTTGTAACACTTGGTGATTGATGGTTATTTCACATCCCTGTGGTTTCTGCTGGGCCTTGCTAGAAGTGTTCTCAAAGAACAAGAGAAGTTGTCTGTTGCAGCAAGTAGGACAGAGGATGAGTAAGAAGAGCAAAGCCAAGCGACAGAAGAGTTCCCGAGCTCCAGCAGCGCCGGGAGCACCTGCAGTGTCATGTGGCTGCCAACGCAGGGTTCATGCAAATGTCTGTTGACTCAGGTGCTTGCCTTGCCTTGTGCTGAGTTGTCAGCGCTGCCCTGAGCCTTCTGTGTCCTCATCAGATACCAAATAGTTAGGCTCAGAGATACTTTTATGGCACCAGTATACAAGGATACTTCATAAAGGTCATAGAAATGTGGAAGTAAAAGATAATTTTGGCACAAAGGTTTTTGAAATCTATTTTTTTCATTGTGCACTTTTTTAAAAAAAATTATTTATTCATTTGGGAGGTAGAGTTACAGAGAAAGGTCTTCCATTCACTGGGTTATTCCCCAAGTGGCCACAGCAGCTGGTGCTGAGCTGATCCAAAGCCAGGAGTCAGCAGCTTCTTCTAGGTCTCTCACACTAGTTCAGGGACCCAAGCACTTGGACCATCTTCTACTGCTTTCCCAGGCCATACGCAGAGAGCCAGATTGGAAGAGGAGCAGCTGGGACATGAACCAGTGCCATGGGTAGATGCTTAGCCCACTGTGCCACAGCACCAATCCCCATAGTACACGTTTCCCACATAACTTGGGAAGTACCCTCATATAAGAGCTTGAAGTGTTCTTCGAAATTAGCTACAGAAAGACAAAATGATTTTCACATGTAACAATCAATACACGCTTCACCTCAGCTATTCAATAAGGAAACAGCTGTTTTACTTCAACTCTAACACTTCTCAGACTGTTGATTGGAAAAGCACACGTCTGGACATTCCTCAAGAAGGAATGGCACATGACAAGTACATGTGTGACCATACCCCATCCTCCCGCATGTCTGGGACAGTTTGGTAACCAGCCTCAGCCAAGCTCTGACCAGCCCGCAAGCCCGCTAGACAACGGTGCTGCGGCCAGCCAGGCAGATAGGACCTGAGGCTGTTCCCTAGTGGTGAAGATGCCTGTGTCCCACGTTGGAGTACCTGGGTTCAAGTCCTTGTTCCACATCCTGCTTCCTGCTGAGGCAGCAGTGGTGTCTCACGGGACGGAGTCCCTGCCACCCATGTAGGAGGTCTGGATGGAGTTTCCAGGTCCCAGGGTCTGCCCCGGCCTAGCCCCAGTCCTTGTGCTCATTTGGAGATCACATACTCTTCCTCTTTCTCTCATGTCTGTGCCTCTGAAAAGAATTTACAAAGTGGATCTGAGTTTTCACGTGAATTAAAATCCATTTCCCCTTCTTTTTTTTTTAACTTTTATTTAATGAATATAAATTTCCAAAGTACAGCTTATGGATTACAATGGCTTCCCCCCCGTAACGTCCCTCCCACCCGCAACCCTCCCCTTTCCCACTCCCTCTCCCTTTCCATTCACATCAAGATTCATTTTCAATTCTCTTTATATACAGAAGATCAGTTTAGCATACATCATTCCCCCTTCTAAACGTTATATGCATGTGACTCAAGACTTGGTGCTTAGAGCAGTGGACTCCAAGCCAGTAGAGCTCCATTGGATCCCAAATCTGCTTTTTCCTAGCTGTGTGATCTTAGGCAAGTCAGTTAACCTTCCCCAGGGACCATTTGCACATCTCTGCAACAAGGGAGTTGGATTAACTACTAAGCATCCTTCCACCTCTGACAAATGCCGTCATCCAAGGTCCATAGACCGCTCCGGAGGCTTCCTCGTTCCTAGAATGTATTTGCAGAAAGACTGGTGCTCGGGAAGTTTGCATGTTACAAATCTATTTGGAGTCTCTAAAGTATGGCATCCTAGCTTTTCCGGAAGACTTCTTTTTCCTCTGTTTGCTCTCATTGACCCATATCTCTGCAAGGAGTATTTAGGCATTCAGAAGGTAGAGAGGGGAAGGAGTCACTTAGAACCAGAGACCTGCAGGAGCCTCTTCCACGCTGCGGGGTCTGCATTGTTGTGGTTTTTTTTGTTAGTTTTGTTTTGTTTTTTTGACAGGCAGAGTGGACACTGAGAGAGAGAGACAGAGAGAAAGGTCTTCCTTTTGCCGTTGGTTCACCCTCCAGTGGCTGCCGCGGCTGGCGCGCTGCGGCCGGCGCACTGCGCTGATCCGAAAGCAGGAGCCAGGTGCTTCTCCTGGTCTCCCATGGGGTGCAGGGTCCAAGCACTTGGGCCATCCTCCACTGCACTCCCTGGCCACAGCAGAGAGCTGGCCTGGAAGAGGGGCAACCGGGACAGAATCCGGCGCCCCAACCGGGACTAGAACCTGGTGTGCCGGCACCACTAGGTGGAGGATTAGCCTAGTGAGCCGCGGCGGCAGCCTGCATTGTTTTTGACACCGGGCTGTGCAGGGGTTACTTCTTCCCCCGCTTCCTGCAGTTACCTCGGCTTCCCCTTCCTCCATTATCCCTCCATGGGAACCGGAAGTCCTGCCCCAAACCACTGTCCCCACGTGTCCCGTGGGGCTCTGAGCCTCCTTCCCCAGCCCCTTGCAGTGACCTGCCTCCCCGTTTCTCTTCCAGGCTCCCCTTCCCTTCGGGCATACCCTCTCCTCTCGGTGATCACCCGACAGCCCACGGTCGTCTCCCACCTGATCCCTGCCACCCCTGGAATCGCCCAGGCGCTGTCCCGCCGCCCAGCCGCCGAGGCTGCGTGTGCCGAGGCCCCGGGGGGCGAGGCTCTGGCCAGCAGCGAGTCGGAGACGGAGCAGCCCACGCCGCGGCAGAAGAAGCCCCGCCGCAGCCGCACCATCTTCACGGAGCTGCAGCTCATGGGCCTCGAGAAGAAATTCCAGAAGCAGAAGTACTTGTCCACCCCAGACAGGTGAGGGCGCTGGGAGGGCTCCCCGTGGGACAGGCCCTTCTCAGCTCTCACTGGGGGACCTGCAGACACCGAGGATGGTTTCAGTGGTGCCCAAATCTCCTCCTGGGTTCAAGTGGCCTCTCCTTGACTTAACGGAACCCAGGAGCCTGCCTGTGGCTGGACTCACTCTGTATTTTAACTCCAGGACTCCAGTACCATGGGCAAAGGCAAGGTTAGCTTGAAGCCATTCACCCTGAGCATCAGAATCCTCTCCCCACCCACCTGTTTCCCAGCCGGCTCCCTTTGCTGGCCCAAATCTTGCTTGGAAAGGGCTGGATGGATCCAGCTGTGGAAGCAAGCGCCAGGCATCCTAGTGGGTTCAGCCGGGACCACTTGGCAGACCTGGAGGAGGAGGAGGAAGAGAATCCTTTCTCTGAACACCTTGGAGATCAGGTTGGGGTGGGGCGTGAGCCCCCTTTCTTTAATTTACCGTCCGAACTGCAGATGGACAAGAGGTGTGTCTTATGACTCCAAACTCACTCTGCACGTGGCTGAGCTAATGTGGGATTGGATTTATTAGGGGGATTTTCCAGGTCCTTTTATTTTGTGCACTGCCTTGTCCGAATCATATTTGACTCCTGTGCCATCAAAGAGAAGGGGGCGGGGGGTGAAACTTGCAGCGAGAGGGGAATCTGAGTCACTAGCAGGGAATTTGTCTATGATTCCGTTACCTGGAAACCGTCAGCTGTTGGCTGAGGGTCTGACTGGCCATTGTGGCGGGGGCATGGGTCCAGAGTCTGCTCTGAAGGAGGTCATGGGGAAGGACCCTGTGTCGTGACTGTGATGGCGGTGAGCTGGGGACCTGTGCCTGCATGGTGCCTGGTGTGCCAGGTGGGGCTACAGAGCCTTCTCGGGGGAGGTAACACTTAAGAAGAGCTTTGATTCTGGGGACAGGGCACTGCACACAGAGGAACCTGCACATAGAGGGTACACTAGCTTGTCTCCCGGGGGGGGGGGGGGGGGGCTGTGGGCAGGACATCTCCAGGTTAAGGTGTGGACAGGACCTGGTGGAGATGAGGTTGCAAAGGTGGGAAGGGCCTGGCTGAAGAATGGAGGCTTGGAAGGGGCAGGCATTTGACCAGAGTCCCCTACCCGGCTTCTGACTCCAGCTTCCTGCTAATGTAGTCCCTGGGAGGCAGCAGGTGATGGATTAAGTAGTCAGGTCCCTGCCAGCCATGTGGGAGACTTAGATTGAGCTCCCAGCTGCAGCCTAGCCTAGCCCCAGCTTTTGTGGGCATTTGGGGGTGTGAACCAGCCGATGGAGGCTCTGTTTGTCTCTCTCCCTCTCCAATAAATAAAGAAAAGGAGGATTGCAGACTGTTCCATGTAGGCAGCCAGCAGCTATTAAGAGCCATAAGCGACAGGAGCAGATTTACATTTTAGAATCACGGCTTTGGTGGCTCGGTAACTTTGTTACCAGAGCTAAGAAATGGGGCAGGGAAACCAGTGAGGCAAGAATGCAGGGAGAGTCACTGTGAACCTGAATGCAGGTGGAACAGCAGGAACAAAGAGGAGAGAATACATGGGAGAACAGAGTTGAAGACTGGAACAGGCAGATTCGACATTGCAGGAGGAAGAGAGAGGGGAGTTGGGAATTCTGTGGTTCCTGCTTTGGGTCACCACTGAACAGGGTTTCCATGAACTGACTTTGGAAGGCAGGGGACAGCGTGGGTCTGAGGAGGAGGAGGGAGTTCTCTTTTGCACATGGGCATTTGGGTGCCTTGTGGCGACAGTGGAGACAGGCCTGTGAGCGGGGCATCAGTGGGTGGCTGTCTCGATGCATGCCCTCCACAGGTAATGGGGGGCCTCACGTACTTGTGCAGCCAGGAGTGGGCTGTGTCATTTCTTGAGTTGTGTAGTGGTGTGTCACAGCGGTTTTAGCAGCAGCAGTCCCATTTTAGGCCTGTTCTTTAGAAGTCAGAGAAACTGTTATTACAGAAATGTTACTTCTTCATAAACCTGCTGGGGCTCCCTGCTGCCTGCCCAGGCATCTCAGGTGGCCTGCGCAGGGCTGATTCACTGGCCTGGGGAGGAGGATCCATCCGGCTGGCATCGAGCTGCCGCCTCAAGCCTCTTCTTCCCATCTTCCCTGCCTCCCTACGTGCCCAGGGCCATGAGTGCGCCCTCCTCCTCTGTGTTTGTTTGCCCAGTTTCCTAGGTGACTCCATTTAAGCGAATACGCAGGGAAGTGAGAATTTGTAACGGTGGCAGGTAATGAGAGAATGCCGATGACAGCGAAGTGTGTTTCTATAGCCAGAGTGAGTCAAGGAGGCATGGTTCCCAAGTGAGCTAACACCGCTTGCTGATGTAGTGGCAGAGCTGTGGGCCTTCCATTGACTAATGCACTTGATGGCCTCGGGTGACCCGGGCTCAGGCAAGCACTGCCAGGACCCAGGGAGGACCTGTAGGGCTGCCAAAGCCCCCAGAGAACTGGGAGACCAGAAGTCTGTGGCATGGCCCCCTTGGATCTTGGTTCTTAATGAATGACTGCTTGGGAACTGATTCTTTGTTAATGGAAAGAGCTAAGTGCTGTTGGCATGGGGAATTCGTTGGCTTCAGTGTGTTCATTGCTTTCAATAAAACTGTCAGCTTCCAGTGGCCCTGGCGCAGGGATGACCAGATAGAAGTGAATGCTTATTTATGCCAGGTCCCAAAGCCCCTTGAAGGAAGACTGTTTTTATCTTGTTCCTTCTGGATGGAGGAGGGCACAGTGGGGCGGCTGCCCCTGCCAGTGCCGACAGTTAGCCCCTGCGTCCGCAGGCACCCACTGACCTTCCTAATGCTCAGGGCTCCCCAGAGAAAGTCGCTGCTGAGAACTCGCACCCCAGACTGCCCCTGGCCCAGGCTTGTGGTTCTGTGGGCTGCGTGAGACCATGGGCCTTAGATCTGCAAAGTGGGCATTCCTCAGAAGTCTGAGGACCTTCAGAAAGTACTGGGCACTGCCCAAGCTGCATCAAGGTGTGACCTCAAGTACTGGTGTTGGACGTCCACATGGCTTGCTTGAGCAGCCTTGGAGATGCAGGGACATGGCTAATACTGGCTCAAGGAGGTGATCCTTCCAGAAGGTCTCAGGTAGACCTGGGGTGCTTAGCCACTTAGGCCAGAAGTTATGAGACTGGGGTTGGAAGCTTGGCTACAGGCTTCCCTTTCTCATTGCATTCACCCCTCATGGGGTGTTGGCTATTCCCTGAATGTAGCCTCCCAGAGTTACAGAGGAGAAAGAGGGGAGAGAGAGTGAGAGTGAGAGAGAGAGAGAGAGGGAGAGTGAGAGAAGTGATCTTCTATTTGCCGGTTTATTTCCCAGCCAGGGCTGGGCTAGGCAGAAGCCAGGAGCCTGGATCTGCATCCAGGTCTCCTAAACCAGTGGCAGGGGCCCAAGCACTTGGACCATCTTCTGCTGCTTTCCCAGGTACTTTAGCAGAGAGCTGGATAGGAAGTGGAGCATCTGGGACTCAAACCGGTGCTCATATGGGATGCCGGCATTGCAGACAGCAGCTTAACCTGCTGCACCACAACACTGGACCCCAATATTCCCCTTTGAAAGATCCAACTTGTACAAAAATATTGTGGGTAAAGTGATTGAGCCCCTATACTGGACAGAGCTAAGTGGGTTCAAATACTGCCTCCATCTCTAACTCTAGGATCCTCTACCAGGAATCAGATTAGTTTTTCAGCTCAGGGCCAGGTAGGTCTGTATTTTGGGGCCATGTGGTTTCTCACAACAACTCAACTCTGATGTCTCTGGCAGCCAGGCACAACGATGTAAACAGATGACCATGTCTGTGATGCAATAAAACTTTATTTACAGAACCAGGTAGCAGACAGGCTCTGGCCCTAGTTGTTGAGATCTTTTGAGCCTCCAGTTGGTCATCTGTGAGATGAGAATAATTATACCTGCTTCACAGTGCTGTGAAAGGAATACAGAAGCTGGCGCAGTCCCAACTGCACTCCGGAGTGGCTTTGACTTTGGGGACTTTTCAGAAGGCTGGAGAGAGATTCAGAACGGTTATTACAGTGGCATAGGAAGCAGGAGGGCTGTGGATCTAATGTTTGTTTCAGAGTCTTTATGGCGTTTAATTATTTGGAACATTTGAATTCTTGAAACAGTTGAGGGCAGCTGTAAGGAATGAATCGATCCATCAAAAAGTAGTTTTGAGCCCTGGTTCTGGATTTAGCAATGTGAGAAACATTTTCATGGCTGTAAACGAAGCTTAAGACATAAGCTACTGTTGCTGTTACATTAGGGAGGCAGAAATAACACATGGGATGTGATCAGAGAAGAGGTGAGAATGTGGGAACTCTGGGGGATGGTCAGCTCTGAAGGGGCCAGGGACGATGAGCCATGGGGGGCTTACCTGCTGGAGGTGGGACTCGGGTGGCTGTGAGGTGATGAGTGGTATTCACATGAGGACCCTGCAGCTTTGTCTTTCCTGTTTCCAGGATGGGACTACCCAGAGCTCCTTGGGCGTGGGCCTTTGCTTCTTAACTTTCCAGCGTTTTCTCCATAGGTTTCTTGGAAGGAAAGAAAATCCCCTTGAATTGACTGAACAGAGGAGAGTCAGACTTTGGGATCCACTACCAGGAGCAGGTCAGCTCGACTCAGTCCCCACTGCTGTCTACCATCTTCCTCATCCTCCCTTGTGTCTTATCCTGTAGGTTGGACCTGGCACAGTCTCTGGGACTCACTCAGCTGCAGGTGAAGACTTGGTATCAAAATCGCAGGATGAAATGGAAGAAAATGGTGAGAAAGGGGAGAGCGAGTGTAACCATGTACTCTCGTGGGGAGGGGGCTCGCCGCAGGGGTGCCATGAGGCAGGAAGCACCCCTTGACATCTGCCGTGGAGGAGGTTGGGAGGGTTGCTACGATTTGGCTAGGAGGGAGGCTGTTTGAACTGTAGGATAAGCTTTTGACCTCTTGCCCTGGATTCCTACCCAGAGAGAGATTCTTTTTCACTTTCTTTAGAAACCAAAGTCAAAGCCCTCAAGCTTCTCATTTGCCAGCTGTAACCCCAACTGCTGGCCCCTGCAAAGCACTTCCTTCCCCCACTCACTCACACACAGCAAAAAACCCAAGGCTGTCTGTGCCTTGTAGCCCATGATGCAGTTCTATAACCTATTCTCCTGAAAGAACATCCACAAATGCAAATTGATTCAACTTGAGAGTCTTCCATATAT